CCACAGGGCGCCATGTTTTGGAAGTTTGACCTGCACACAAGCTCGCACCTGGATACACTGCTGGAGCGGGAGGACCTGAGCCTGTCAGAGCTGCTGGATGAGGAGGACGTGTTGCAGGAGTGCAAGGTTGTCAACCGCAAGCTACTGGACTTCTTGCTGCAGCCACCACACCTGCAGGCCATGGTGTCCTGGGTCACCCAGGAGCCACCAGCCAGTGGTGAGGAGCGGCTGCGCTACAAGTAAGTCCCCCACGCTACCCCAACATTCAGTAACTTGGGTTTGGAGATAAGGAACTGAGGCAGAGAGGGCTGGGTCCCTCCCAGGGTCACACAGAGAGGGCTGGGTCCCTCCCAGGGTCACACAGCTCACCTGGGTGCAGACTCTGCCCTGCTGCAAATTGCTTTATATGGTGGGATTTTCCAGACATACCCATAATGCAGGGCCTGGTGGAATGAGTAAGTCCTACTTCACCCAGCCTTGACAGGAAGTGCTGTTTTGCCAATATTTCATTTACCCAGTGCCTACTTTTTTTCCTGATCTTTTTTTCCAGCTTAGATTTTTATTGGGGTAATTGTAGAATGAAATACAGTTGTAGAAATGATAGAGAATTCCTGAGTACCTATTGTCACATTGCCCCTAGTGGTATCACAACTGGGATGGTCACAAGGATGCTGTATTCCCAGCTGTGAAATGAGGTTCCCTGGATTTACTTGTGCCTACTCGTGTGCACAGGTACTAAGCTTATCATCCTATAGATTTGTGTGTCTGTACCACATCCTGAACACTTCTGTCACCACAAGGACCCCTCATGTGCCCATTTATAACCACACCCACTTTCTCCTATCCTGTCCCTGACCCTTGGCAACCACCAGTTGTCTCTACTTAACAATTTTTTTGGAGGGTGGGGGGCGTGTGCTGAGGGTCAAGCCCAGGGCCTTCTGCATGTTAGGCAAATGCTTTACCACTGAGCCATATCTCAGCCCTATATGTGGAGTTTTGTCATTTGGAAAGTATGATCAAGTGCATCATCTGATAGGTGACATATTGGGCTTTTTCTCTCAGGGTGATTCTCTGGAGACTCAGGCTGCAGTGGGAAAGATGAGTGTCTTTTTGTTGTTGTTGAGGTCTACTTGATGGGCCTTGGCTTATGTGATTTGGACCCACCTGCTTTAAACCTCTAGAGGGCTCCCTGGGGGGTTAAAGCAAATCCCCTGGTTCTGGATCACATCTTTAACACCTGTGACTCTGTTGTCTTACCTTTAGAACTGTGAGCTTGAGAGGGCAGCAGTTGGCTTCTGTCCTTGGTGCAGTGTACTCCGTGGCATGCAGAGTGCTGTGGGTGGAGGCTCCCACAACCTCTGTAGGGAGGGAGGCAGGACCAGGCAGCAGGCCCTGTCAGGGGTTTGGGCTGCATTCGCTCTCATACTGCCCTTCCTGGGCCCTTGCACAGTTCTCCCAATGGCTTCCATGTCTGTGCCCTTCTTGTCCCTGCTCCTAGTCTACTGGTGCCACTCTCTGCCTCACTCCAACTTTTGGTTTGGAGTCCTGAGCCAGACAGAGGGGATGAGGGCTGCTGCTCCGTTGGCCTTTTGTAGTGGGGACTTGGTAAAGCAGAGCCAACAAGGGCACCAGACTGGGAGCTTGGGGCCTGGTGGTTCCCCTGCTGCTGCTGCTGATAGCACCTCTGGCGTGCCAGCAGAGTGTCCCACTCGCTCCCTAATGTCTGTCAGCTGCCACACATACACATACACACCCCACATATGTGCCTTCTCTTTTTTCTTTGCTCTGGCTTCTCTCTCCAAGGGCCTCTGTTCATCCATACTCCACCGGTGTCCAGCAGGCTGTGAACCAGGCTGTTTATAGCAAGGCAGCCTCCATCTCCACACCTGCACCTTGCTTAGCCCAGGGTGCCTGCCCCTTCCCAGGGAGTCTGCTTTCCAGGGGAGGGGCACCTGTGATATCCTCCACAATTTATGGATTAGACCAGAGCAGATTGTGGTCTCCAGGGGCTTTGGGTGGTAGCCTGGGCAGAATAGCTCTTGTCCTGGGGTTGCCCAGCACTGTGCATATGTCTGAAGAAGCGAAGCAGGAGATGAGGTTAGAGGTTCAGAAAAGTTGCCTGGGTCAGGGGCCAGGAGGGACACTCAGGTGGTGACCTAGAGGGAGCCAGCCTTGACTGGGACAGTGTGTGGGCTGCTTGTGTGTCCTTGGGAGGAATTGGAGTTGGTGGTGGTGGCAGGGTAAAGAAGTGAAGGGGCTTCAGGACCATACTCAGGTCAGATGTTTTCTTGGTGTGTTGGGGAGCCTCCGCAGTTCTCAGAAAGGCCTGGGGAGGACGTGGGCAGTGAGGAGGATCTTAAAAGTGTTCTGTTTGCTTCCCTTTCCTGGATGCATGAGCCCCACATTCTCTGAGTTCCCCTAATTCCCATGCTTGTCTCCTAGGTACCCCAGTGTGGCCTGCGAGATTCTGACCTCGGATGTGCCCCAGATCAACGATGCCCTGGGTGCAGATGAGTCCCTCCTGAGCCGGCTCTATGGCTTCCTGCAGAGCAGTGACAGCCTTAACCCGCTGCTCGCTAGCTTTTTTAGCAAGGTCATGGGCATCCTCATCAACCGCAAGACAGACCAGGTGCCTGCTTCCCTTCCACACTGGGGTCGGGGGGTTGTTTGGGATCAAGGACCCTGGGACATGACGTGGCCCTGTGCTTCCAGCTCGTGTCCTTCCTACGCAAGAAGGATGACTTCGTGGACCTGCTATTGCGGCACATTGGCACCTCGGCCATCATGGACCTCCTCTTGCGCCTGCTTACCTGTGTGGAGCGGCCCCAGCTGCGGCAGGATGTCTTCAATGTGAGGAGGGCCCCACTCAGTCAGGGTTAGAAATCATCCAGATGCAGTTGTGACACTGTGGTGGACACTGTGAGTCCAGATTCATCAGTTTGGCGAGACCCTGTCTCTAAAACAACAAAAACAAAAAGGCTGGGGTTATAGCTCAGGGGAGGCCTTAGGGAGTTCTCAGGGAGGCCTGGGGAGGACATAGGAGGTGAGGAGGACCTGGGTTCAATCCCCAGTAAAAAAAAAAAAACAAAAAAAACAGGGAACCTAAAGCAACCCCTGCTTCTCGCCCTCAGTGGCTCAATGAGGAGAAGATTGTCCAGCGGCTGATCGAGCAGATCCACCCATCCAAGGATGACAATGTGAGTGCCCTGGTGTTCTTCAGGCCTCTTACATCAGGTCCTGCCCCTTGAGAAAGGGAGCACAGCATAAGGTTCACACAGGCTGTGGGCTGTGGAGGGTCCATGAGGGCCTGGAGGTATAGCCTTGGTGTCCTCCAGGGACAGGGGCACAAGACTGAGCTGTGGCTGCCTGCCTGCTCGGTTAGACCCAATGCTCTGCTTGTGTTTCACTCCCTGCCTAACCCCTGGGCCATTGACCACTGAGCCACCTCTCCAGCCCTTTTTATTTTTTTATTTTGAAGCAAGGTCTTGCTTGTTTGCTGAGGCTGACTTTGAACTTTGTGATCTTTCTGTCTTTGCCTCCCAAGTTGCTGGGATTATAGGCGTGTGCCACCACCCCCGGCGCTCCCCTTTCTTAACAGCTTTACTGAGATATAAATGGCATGTTGTATAATATACCTACTTAAGGTTATAGTTCAGTGGATTCTAGTTCATCCACAGTATTGTGGGTAACTCAAAGAGTATTTTTCCTACTCAAAACTCTGTGGCCATTAGCACTTTCCCAATTTCGCCTGTCCCTCTTCCTGGCAACCAAGCCCTTTCTGCACATTTTATACAAACAATTTGGGGTTTTGTCTTTTTTATTTGTTTGTTTAGTACTGGAGATTGAACCCATGGCCTCACACATGCTAGCAAGTGCTCTACCACTGAGCTACATTCTATCATGTTTAATAAAAATGGAATCTCATACTATATGATATTCTGTGTCTGACTTCTGTCCCTTGACAGTGTTTTCAGGGCCATCCTCAGCTTGGGGTGTGGCTCAGTGGCAGAGCACCTTTACAGGCTCTGTTTCTGTCCCAGCATCACACACATCATCATCCTTGTTGCAGAATAGGTCAATGCCCCATTTCTTTTGGTGGCATAGTAATACTCCATGGTGTAGAGAGGTCATAATCTGCTTTCCCTCC